CTATATCACATACCTAGATCCCATCAGAGGTATACGGGTGAAACACGATCCAACATTCAGAGCACTTACGAAGACGCCAATTTATGATATCACCAGAAAACTCCAACAATTTATATTATGTACCAAAAAAAATTAAAATTCACAAGAGGGGACATTTCAAATCAGGGAATATCCGAAAACGTATGCAAATTTCACGGATAACGTATGGGTGGTATTCTTGACCACTCCAATATTCGAATATTTAGCAATATTTATGCGAGCATGGCCGACCCACTCGATTTACGTAAACTACCACTCGGTAGTTGACGTAAATTTCGGTAATATGTGTTGAAGCAGAGTTCATTCATAGTATTTTCATTGTAGTCTAGTTCACAAGTGCTCCAATTCGAAAATTTTGAGTTCGCCCTTACAGAAAATTATGATTGAGTAATTTCATTCAGAGTAATTTATGATTCGAGACGTGAGCAAAAAGTTTAAAAGTTAAAAAATAAGGGTGTTGTTTTCAGAATATGCTCAAGAGTTTTTGAAATATTCACAAAAAACACTTCTTTTTTTTTGTCTGATTGATTTAAAGAGAAATTGTAACATAAACATAACAATCTTTTAAATAACAAGGACGAGCAATCGATATATTTAACAATTCATTGCTTCATGTATTTCATTTTTAATACCTTTGATTGTTCTTAAAAAAATGAACTTTTGGTTTTCCCAACGCCTTCATAGAATACCATTCAGAAGAGGAAACATTCCAAAGCTTCAGTATCAAAAATTATCGAGTTTCAAAGTTGTTGATTAACTGGTGCTACAGCTCTGGAAAGTAGCACTTACCTATCGAAACTATTCTGCCTTTCAAAGATCTTTTTCAACATTCAAACTTTTTGTTAGCATAACTTGGCACAAATCATATCAAATGACACCTCAATTATGATTTTATGTCAAGGAGAACTATTAAAAATCTTTAAAATCACAATACTGCATGTAAGATCCTTATATAGCCATCAATTGTAAGAAACATGTNCGTCGATATTCATTCTAGAAACAGCAAGCCTAATATACAAAAACAAGTTCAAATATACTGAAGGTAACATAGCATATGATACACGACAGGTTGATCAGCTTAGAACTACAAAACCAAACTCGACTTTAATAAAAAATTCTGTTATTTACAATGGTTTAAAAATATTCAACAAGGTACCTTTGTCCATAAGAGTATCTGAAAGTTATGAAATATTCAGGAAAAACCTAAAAAATCATCTCATCGACAAGGTTTATTATAACTTGACAGAATATTACGATGATTAACTAAACTCATGACGAAATAATTTTATTTATACAAATTTTAATTCTATTGACAACTTTATTTATACAACATTAATTTTATTTATACAATATTAATTTTATCTATACAAGTGTAACTCTAATTTTAATCTTATTTTAATTTTAATTTAATTTTATCTTACAATTTTAATTTTTTAAGACAATTTTATTTATACATAAAAACTTAATTTATACATATTTATAAGATACTCTCTCCCTCATCTATGATCTGAACTTAGTATTATTTACATTGTAACTTAGTGTTTAATAAGTACCTGCCAATGGAAAAAAGCTTATTCCCTATTTCATATATTGCATCTATCGTATGGTAACACGCATTAGAGTTACAAAGTGTTTGTCAACAAGATGTTAGTTCTTAAGACATTAAACGATATATTAGATTGTACAATCATTCTATTCTTTTTGAACACCATAAAAAAATATTTACGCATGTTTGTTATTTGCCTTTTTTTTCAAAATGAGTAACAAAGGTTACATCTGGCACACGAATTAATGACGACCTTGAATGAATTTGCAAAGACCAAATGTGATGGACCAAGAAGAGGGATACTATATGCACACATTTTACAACACGCAAAATGAAATAATATGTGGTAAAATTTTCTTGTCAAGAACAGATCGTTAAAAACTCATACAATAACTAATCAATATATGATCATCAGATATTAAATTCAGGAGAAGGGGACAAGCCATTCTCATTGTCAGTCAGTGTAGTTCATTTCGATAAGATCAAAAATGTAAAAATGGAACAGAAAGTATCCCATTACCATCAAAAAAAGAAATTCGAGATAAGGATACCACATTTACACAGTGATAAATATAGTGTAAACACTTTTCATCTGAACCTTTTCAGTTAACAGTAAATTGAGAGAACCATTCACAAACACAGAGAAAGGTTAACAAAGGGGGAACTTTCAATTTGAACATTCCCAATGGAATAAGTCAACTAACTATATCAAAATAGTAAAGAAAGAAAACTATCTATAAAATGAGAATAATATGGGTGAAATTGACACCAACGCAGAAACATAACTAACCAAGTAGCTTAAATATGTATATGATTTCTGGAGAGAAAAATGAAAATTTACTGATTTTCCCACAAATTATACCCTATGGATGCTTTAATAATATTTTGAAATAGGTAATTTGAACACATCCAATGTGTCAATATCAACCAAAGTTAAGTGCTTATACTATCGATCTTCCTTTATCCGTGTAACAGTATTTTCCAAAATATTCAAAGTTTCTTCTTCCATCGATGTGGTAATTTTTTGCTCGTTTTTTCGTGGATAACCAGTGAAGGTGTTTTCAGTTACCGTAAGCAAAAATATATGATTGTATTCTAATTTCAAACTCTTCTATCATTCACAAACCATAAAGTGTATAAAGTTCCAAGAATCGTTAGTTGTACGAAGATATTTCCTAGTAGTAGAAGAGGTAGATTAATCAGATTGAAATATCTGCGTAATACGTTTTGGTTTTGGCTGGAGCCTGAAATGTCACCAGCTTTCAGATTCCAATCTCTGCATGGCTTTTGACCATGAGAGAGCAGGCAACGAAGCATTCCCTTTTGAGGCAGCTGCCCCAGCAACCAATGATTCTTGGCTTGGTTTTCGTCACTGAACAAAGTGACCACAACCTGTTCAGCAAAAAAGTCCATATCAAAGCCACAAAGATTACAGCTGCACACAAAGATAAGCTGATGAATAGCTGGCATTGAATACCTCGGCATATCCAAGGACTCGTCCTTTGCTTTTCTCAGATCAAGTGGGAACAGAGAAATTCATCATAGCTAGGATGTTGTCTTACAAGATAATGATAACACAATTCAAAATCCCTTCTGATTCAACTAGAAATAGAATAAAACTCTATATTTTTTACGCCGTTTGATAGAAAATGAAATTTTCCTTTCATTGGAATACACTAAAATGTCAAAAGATATCATGAGTCCATTTTTCTGTACCTACTACTGAAAAGGTGGGAATTTGAAAGCTGCTCTATCTCATTTTCAGTAATAACAACTTAGTCACTTCTTGAATGGCACTATATTTAAAGTGTCTTAACTATGTTGAACTGTACGATGTTGTTATATTTTTAATAAAAAAAAATGTAGATCAAGAGCTACATTCCAATGTTAAAGTTCAAAAATCACCAATTTCTATTAGGATTTTTGAAATAAATGAAGTAAAACATAACATTTGAAAAACATAAATAAAAGGTAGGTGAAAAGTTTCGTTTATTGAATTTTCCCCATTTTCCTATTAAGTGATCTAGGAAAATTTATGGTTGAGCCGGCATATGTTACCGACTGTTTTATCGTTAGAAACATCGGCTCCAATGAACTATACCTCTGTTGTTCCTAATTAAAAATTTTTCACACCACAAACAATATCGAGTAGTGCCATAACAATGATTTCGATGTCACCGGCTGTTGTAACTTCACCTACCACTGTGATATTTCTGTTTGAAGACTAAGATGAAAATATTCGAATAAGTTATTGAAAAAAAGGGATATATTCACATCCACCAACAGGCGAAGGTGACAGTAATCTGAAATTATCAATAATGTATCAATGAATAACTGCTGTCAAGTATGATTTCTATTTAAAACATTTAATATTATCTTTGCAGTATCTTTCAAATTCAAAAATTTGTAGTTTCGTGAAAAATTACATTCGAAAATTTGAATTTGTTCATTTGCTACTGTTTTCTACTACTTGGGAGCTGTCTGACTTGTCCATTTCTTCCAAGTCTATGGAAAACATTGCAGACCTTATTGCGTTTTTTATTCCATATTTTCATGTCATCCGTTCCAAAAATCTTGTACCCTTCTGAGCATAATTTAGGTTTATTACTCGGTTTTTCATAAATCTTTTGCCTCCTGTGATCCAGTGCCTCACATTGACATAAATTATAACTCTGTCTCTGTCCCTTTGTTAAATTGCCTGCAGTTGAGGTCTCTGTTGTACAGCTCTATTTTGTCCTCTTAATGGACAGTTTAATAAAGATCTTATGATGGACATGTAATACATTCTGTACCTCATTACTGATGAATGAAATTCCAAATACGTTTTTTCAAGAAGATTCCCAACAACATTTTCTAACAGAATATTCTCATAAAAATAATATGCAAATGCAATTTTTTCAAAATTCTATAAGCTAATTGATAACAGGCGACTTTGTTTCAACAGCAAGAATATCTTTCAAAACAATACTTAAAAAACATTTTCTGGTAGTAATTCATAAAAAAGAAACAATGGTGGTCAGAGTTCAAGTGATATATCCTGTATATCATCAGTGATTTGGATATTATTTCAGCTAGTCACAAACGCAAGTGTACAGTTCCGTTTTCTGAGTGCCATGTGAAGAACACTTTTTGACATTTGTTATGCTTTTCAGAAAAAATATTTTTGCTGTTCTACTACTCCACCATCGAACTAATCTCTCCTAAAAATATCCTTTTTTCAATTTACATAAAATTCATAGATACATATGAGAGTTTCTCATTGATCATTTCAAAAACTAGTTGTTCAGGATCCAAGAATACCCATACAACATACTTATGGATACTAACAATCGAAACGTCATGGAGTAACTTGGACAACAGATATGTGTGTGGTCAAATTTCTGGGTACACTAGATAATAAAAATATAATGCTTACCATTGTGTATATTAGTTGTTTGTGACTGTGAAGAAGTAACATACAAGATTACACATAAAATAGTTTTCCAGTTATCCATTATTGTCTCCAGTAGAAAAGTCATTCACAGTATTTTCAATGGAAACGGCATTAGACTTGTTTCTTTGTGGGGTTTATTGTGTGTTCCAGGTTACGTTGAATTATTACTTCACTAAATTCACAATCAGTTCAACTTTCCACTAGGTATATATTGAATATATACATCCGTTAAAAATTGAGCAAATGCCTCACAGTTAACAAAAGCTGGTACATAGGCCACAGGCCATTTTCTTAGTTTTGTTCACTAGTGACGTGCTGCCAACCAAAAATTTGAAAAATACCCGCACTAAACAAGTTCAAAATTCAACTCTTCATACAAATTCTTTGTTTCGTTTAATTACGTTTTTTTGTATTCATGTAACAACCGGAATTGTTGTTTTAATACAAGCTGATCACCACCCACAATCCCACCTTAGCCATGAGTAACCTTAACTACCGAACGAAAATCACTAAACCTAACCACTAAGCATAGAAGTATAATGCGCAAGTCCAATTTTTATCATAGACGGTATAACGTATGGACTGAAACGAGAAAATTGAGGACCATATGACTAGAGAAGGATGGAATAGGTAATTATTGTAAGTAATAGGAGACAGACATATGTCGTCTTAGTTCTAAAATATTTTCATTTCCCCTAATGAAGCTGTGAAATATACTTGGAACTACATATGGAACTTAAACTTCATCACAATGCAGAATGAAAATTATGAATGTTTAAACCCGCCAAAAAACGTACCCCTGGCGGTGTCTGGAGGACAAATGGATCGTTACTTCTTTTACTGTCTCTTAGTTCCAATCGTTCCAAGAGGGAGAGTTTCAGTTGTCAAAATTTGAGTATCCAACTCTTTCTAAGAAGTTGATTATATTATTATTGATGAGTAATTTAGATTATAGTCGCCTGGTTCTGAATGTTCATAAGATAACACGAGTGACGCTAGCGTTACAGGAAAGTTATTGGAATCCAAAATCAAATCAAGATCAGATTGTGGGCTATTTTCAAATTTGAATATCTCGAAGAAACAAAAGTCCGGAGAAATTCCTCTCACTGATTGTGATATGTGAGGGCATCATGAATTATTTGAAGGAATAACAAATACATGCCTTTCCGCTAATCAAATAACATAGTACACGTCGAAAGGATTACTCAATTTCGTTGTCATGCTATCACTAGCAGTATTGATTTAGTTGCAACAAAATTGAACAATATATACATAACGTGATGTTATTGAATGCAAAAGAGAAAGAAATTCATGCAACATATATACGGAATAACCGTTTATCATATTTTTCTATGATTTTCCAAAGTCTAATTGGAGGACAGAAAATCTCTCAAATGCATATTCATCCATTTCATACCCATAGCATATTTCATCTGTCAAATTTGATATGTTTTGTAAATGACAATTTTTTCTCATCAGAAGACTACCTCAGANGTAGATTTTTATCAATTATATATATATATTCCTCTAGAATCGAAAATTTCGTTGACTAACTTACCCATTCATATAAAAACAACATTCATCCATGAAACATGTAAAATATAACAAAGTTGGATTACGGTTGACACGTTCAGAGACGAAGATCTCACAAAATTCAACTTTTCTGTCAAAATCATCTTTGTTCAGTTCATGAATCATTTTCACAGTATGAGAATGGAATTTGTGTCGATGAATAATTCTGAAAACTTTTGTAGGACTCGCTCCCTGATGCTTGGGGCAAAGACTGCGTTATTTTCCATCAAAGCCACGTGGCCTAGAACTTCAACAATAATATTTTCGTTATTGATCATTCTTGAACGATCATAGTACCTGTTATGTACGTTACCAGTTTTCATGAATTCATGTGACAAATCCATTACATATTTATGTCTTATATTTCTGCCCGGATAATTCTCATTAAAAACACGAGTGTTCAAGAACATTATTGTTTTTGGACACAGTTTCGAAAAGTCATTGTTTTATGTTTGGAGAAATTGCTGGAAAACAATTTCACATATAATTTAATAAAAGAAATATTCTCGAATAGCCGTAAGAGACTATGGGGCATTTAGCTGTCACCAAGTAACGTCCAAGTTGAAAGTGAACTCTTCAGAAAGGTCCTTCTGTATGTAAAGATTTGATAAATTGTATCTGGTCAGAAATCCTGACCACACTGGCCTGGAAATTAACGAAGCTGCCGACTCTCTTGCAAGGAAAGGCGCTGCAAGCTGTTTCATCGCAACGAATCTAGTCATTGTCTTCGCTTTAGGTGCCAAAAAAGTAGTGACTACCTGGACTACAAGAACGTTTCATACTTCTGACCAAATCTACCAGAATTGGTATTTATACATCCTTCGACGTCTGTATCACTGTTATCTTAATCTGATGAAACAGCAGATAATATACATTGCGCCTTCCCCAATACGGTACGAAACTAGTTTTCAGTATTTGACAGTTTCAATATTTTCATCTGACGAGAGATCACTCATCAAATGAACAAATCGATTTCGATGAGAAGCTGTACTTATTTGGTCAAATTTGAACGAGTTTGAGCCACAATGGAATTTCGCGGGTTGCAGTGCAGGGTCGCATAGACCCACACACTTTGGAATCACATACTTATCTACCATTACGAAATGAGAGTTATTAACATTGCTTTGCAAAACCTTTGATCATCACCTTATGTATTAGTGATGAAATGATTAAAAACAACAATAAAAATAAAACTTTACTGTCGTATGGATCGGAAGTATACAAGATAACTTGTGTTTCTTGCGTTCTTGTCCAAAATTGTATATCGGACAAACCGGAAGGACTTTTTACAAAAGAATAAAAGATAATAGAAGTGTGTTTTTTTAATGAAAAGACCAATTCAACATTTGCGAATCATCTTTTGACTGGGGGGCACGGGGACACGAGTTCAATCACGATCATGACGTATTGCATTTGGAAGAGAAAGGTTCAAAATTCAATATTTTGGAAAGTTTAGAAATCAATAGATGTAAAAATTTGGGAGTATCGACCAATGATCAAATAGATTTGGATTGTTTCCCTTTAATAAATTTAGGACGAGGACATTAGTAATTTAGACAGATCTCAAAGATAGGTAAAATATTGTGAAAATACTAATCATTACTCTCAAGTCTTGCTAGTTGTTTTAAGATACGTAAATAGTTTAGGCAATGAATTTATCATGTAGAAATTTGGCAAGTAGTAATATTCATAATATGGTTCAAATTACTATAAAAGCATGATACAGAATTTGTATAAACAGTATTGTGACGCCTGAGGATGCTATCGTATAGCGAAACACGTGTCGCGGTTTTGTAAACTTTCAAGTGTAAATATCACATTGAGGTGTGTTTTTTTAAAATCTTATAATGGATTTTCATCAAGTATCGGTCAGTTCTTTGATAATTCAGAACCAAAACTAAATAATTACTCTGGCAACAGATCCTTATAACTTCAACAAAATCAGAATGAACAATGAAAACATTNTAAAATTTCAGACGTTGCCGAATCAAAAAAACTCGAAAACTGTCAATCTTTCTTTTCTTTTCAGAACTAATCATTTCTTTTGATAAGACCTACGTATATTCAATATGCTTAAAGCATTGTCGAAACAGCTTCAACAAAGTTGTATTTCAAATAAGGAAAATAATAGTAAGTAACGTTAATAGCAGTACAAAAAATTTTTGAAAGTTCGAAATAGTACACATGTTGGCAACGCCGTAACTTGCCATTTTGTGACGTCATTCTCTTCTTAACGTGAATATCCTTTAACACTTATTTTTAGAGAAGACAATATCGAAAATAAGGGAGTTTCGTTCCTGATGTGGTGGTGGACGGACGTGTTGACAGCGACCGTCCACAAAGAAGGTACGTGGACGCCATTGTTGGGGACGAAGCTCAGTTTGTGTTGTGAATGTCTGCCGTCATAGAACGTGCTATCATTAAATTCAAGTGAATTTGGTAACAGTTTATAAGTGTTATAGAGAAACAGCACTCCCATTCACGCCGGTTGGAGGCCGGGGTGGACCGGATGTCCACGTGGGAGTGTTATAGTGGATTTATATAACTCCTGTCCCCATTCACGCCGGTTGGAGGCCGGGGTGGACCGGATGTCCACGTGGAGACAGGATTTTTAAAATTTAAGTGTTGATTATGTGTAAAATTTGGAAGTTTCCAAAAAAAAAATTCTTCAAGTGTTTTTATAGAATAATAAAAAAGTTATATAAAAAAGGGGTGGCAGCATTGCTGCGTGCAAGACAGCTGCGCCCCCTCGAATCGAGCTGGCTAAATGCGCCTAACGGAAGCAAAAGCCAAGAATTTTTAAGTGAAGTGAAGTGAAGTGAAAATAAGGTTAGAGAGTCTCGTGGTGGCCGTGGTAGTGGACGGATGTGCTAATAACGTCCGTCCACAAAGAAGGTACGCGGATGCCATGTGCTATCGTGGGGCTCAGTTTTGTGTTGTGATTGTCCATTGTAATACATACTGAAATATGTGAAAGTTTTTAAAAAGTGAAGTTTAAGAGCCCCTTTATTCACGCCGGTATCCAGGCCGGACTGGTTCGGATAACCACGTAAAAGGGCCATGTATATGAATTCAAAAATTCGAAGGTCTCCCGAAGAGGAGGCAACCCAATAAATGTATGTGTTAAAAAATCAAAAGGTCTCCTGAATAGGAGGCGATAATAAAAAAGTGAATTGTTTTTCATTATTAACAGTGTGACTAAAAAGGGGTGGCAGCATTACTTCGAGCAAGACCGCTGCGCCCCCCCGCCCCGACGAAGCTTCTGTCAAATTGACATATAAAAATTACATTTTCTGGCGTTCACATTTCTCAGACAACTCATCACATTCTATAGCTGACAATGTCATACAAACTCCTCGACTGGTTTTCGTCCCTGTTGAATACGACATAAAACATCTTATTGGGTGAATTCTTAAATTCAAGCGAAAAATTCGGATGGATTGCATCAACCAATTGAACAGAGACCAGCTCTCAGAGTAATTAGAAATTTATTCACTAGACACTGGTTATTTAAAAAGGAAACTTAAACAATAGTGCAATATAACAACTTCAGCTGCAGGCAATACAACAGAAGACAGACAACTATTTGTGCTTCATGGCAATGTGAAGTAGGTACTAGATGTATCGACAATAAAAATTAGATCCGAAAGAAGATAATAAATATCCAACAGATTATCTGTTCAAACTAGTATAGCGAACCAATTCTTTGAATGGGTATTATGAAAAGTTAGAATGAAAAACATAATAAGCCCATGAAGCTGCAATGTTTTCCGGACATTTAAAAGAAATGGACAATTCAGACTGTTTGTGAATGGCAAAAATATCTCTTGACATGAAGTCTTCCAGTACTTCTAAATTTGATTCAATGCATCTCAAACTTCAGTTTTCAAAACCTCCCCCAGATCAGTGGAAAGGACTTTGAGAATGAATACAACCAACACTGATTTAATCCACTTTTGCATAGGCGCCTTCATATCAATAATTTTTCTCAAGANTTTAGGAAAAAAAGTTATATGGAGTACTGGTGATATTTTGACCCCATCTATACATTCCCGAGAGGAAAAGAGGAAGTCCAGGGACACCCTGTATAACATATACGAAACTGAGCAACTTATTGTATGAATATTGTTTTCTATCTTTTATTGTGATATAAAGTCGTTGAATTTTTGCAAGGATCGAAAGGATATAGGTTTTCAAAGCCAAGGTAACGATTAGAAACCATGAGATTCGTGTTGAAAGGAACTGCAGCAGACATCTTCAGTGGTAATAAAACATCGAAGTATTAGCGACAACTGACTCGTCGTTAATTGTTTTTCAAAGTTATCCAAAAATGTGCTGATGAGAAGTTGAAGAATAGTGTTTTCAACCGAAACTTCTCTAGAAATCCATAGAGACATTTTGGCCTGGTTGAACCTCACTTAACTAACACCTACAAAATACTCACATATACCCGAGAATCATCTAAATATAATAAAAGGATACTATCTAAATAAAACAATAAAATTGGGGTATGGGCCTACAAGCTAATATCTGGATCGTACCCAAAAAATTCATATAAGAAGAACGTCTTGAGATGTCAGAACGAGAATTACAGAACAAAATAAGTTTTGAACCAAAGAAGATCAATTCCATTTATGTTTGCCACCTTTTAGACAATAATCTCGAGTTCGACATGAACTACGATATAAAAAAAATAACAAAATGCCTGGAAATTTATAAACGAGTCAAATTCCCTATTGAACAATCAACAAGTTAATTACTCATATCTGGAATATTATAAATGTTCAACCACCATTTCACTTCATCATAGATTTCAAATTCTATTTATCCATAACAGTCTCTCCCACCATTTTGTGTTAAAAAAATTGAAAAATTCATCCCTCATGAAGATATATGAATAGTTCAGAACGAAAAACGAATATTTTGGATAAGGCAGACTTTTTCGTCCAAAAATTTAAATTTTTCTTTCTTGCGAATACTGTGACATTGTATATTTCCTATTGATTGACTGGGAAAGTTTTGATCATATAATTTTTTAAATTTGTTGAACGTCAGAGCTTATTCAAGTGACACTTTACTAACACGTGTTTCGCTATACAATAACTTCATCAAGCTGGATTTCATTAGTTCAGACTTCCATCGTTTAATGATATAAAATGATTCGAACTCCCTGAAAGAATCAATAAAATTGGAATGAATAGCTGAAAAAAACAATTATGTTGAGCAAAAAAAACCTGAAATGAAATTACAATAAAATAAAATACAAGCAACAATTGAAAATTGAACAAAATAGTCATCTCTCGGAGGAATAAGTCCAGTATCACCTGAAGGCGATTGTGAATACTAACAATCGAAACTTCGTTAAGTAACTTGACTTGAAATATTTTAATTTCTATTCCTCTTTCATTTTTCAATTGTTGCTTGTATTTCATTTTATTGTAATTCCATTTCATGGTTTTTTGCTTTATATAATTGTTATTTTCAGCTATTCATTTCAATTTTATTGATTCTTCCAGGGATTTCAAATAATTTTATCATATTAGGCAATGGAAGTTCGAACTGATGGAATTCATCATGAAACATTGTGAACCACCGTCAAACAAACTTCATCAAGCGTTTATACTGACTAAATTCTACCAAATTTGTGCATCAAATAATGACAATTTGAATCATTTCACATTCTACTTAATAAATGACTAATAATTTCACTTGAGTTTAGGCAAAAACTAATTGAAAATTCAAACTTCACGTGGTCATTTTTCAATGGACATTACACGTCCATTAAATGGACATGTAATGTTCATCACTACACCAAACAGTGCATCATAAGTGAAAACATAGACTTCACAATTTGAAAAGTTTATTGTAGGAAAAAAAGAATTGAATTCTTTCGCTCATCTGAATCTGATTTCGAGTGTGGAAATTGGTAATTAGTTTATTACATGTAAATTTGATGAGGTGGCGAGATTTTCTTTCATTTTCAATGAGTTTGTACCCAAAGTCAAGTAGAATTCAAGTCGTCAATCAGGTAGAATTCACAATAAACTGTTACTTTACTGCGTTATGGATTTTCATCAAGTATCGGCCGATTCCAATAGCCAGTTTCTATCTATTGCCGCATCTAGAAGATTATACAACATCAAGATGCAGGCACTATATTTAGCTTAATTTTACTAGTTCAGACATAAAACTGAAATGAATAGCTAAAAATAACAATTACATTAAGCAATAAACCGCGAAATGAAATTACCATGAAATAAAAATAAGCAATAAATTAAAAACAATCAAAAATGAAATAAAAATTGAGAAGATTTCATTTTTAATTGTTCAGCATTTTATTAGAAATAATAAAATTATAAAACAACAACAAAAATTAATTGGAACGCCCGGGGCGACTTCATTGATTCCAGTGGCGCATTTGCTTTCTTAGCTGCAGGTAAACCCGGAAAAACCTATAGCACCACATCATCTGAAGATCTTGATCTGCCAATGTCCCCTCTTTTATAAAACAAAATGTAGGATGTCTCCAGAGGCTTCAATAAATTCAATACATCGCCAGAACACTTAAGTGACACTACTATCGTCAAACTTAAACCAGCCCGTTTCGCCTATTAACCAAGGCGTAATAATGACCAGATTCAACGCCAGAACCACAGTGATTGAAGTAATCATCTATTTCGAATCATCGTAAAAGTTTGGTGGTTTCGTCAGAGGTTGAGTCATGTTTGAAGATCATCAGTATTATTATTAGATTGACTGGTGCCTGAGCTATACTTGTTTTCTTATAACAGTCAGTTAGTTTGGGGTATGTTTGACAATACAGTCGATCATATCCTGTTAAAATTTCCATTTTCAGATGATATAACAATAAGCTTTGCATGGACTGGTTATTAGTTATATTGGGAAATGCTAGTTGAAGTTCCAGAAATTCACATACGTTTTTGCTACCTCTTGAACATTTTCCAGCAAAAGATTTACAAACACAAGACGAGATAAACTGTACGGAATCATTCAATCTTGAGCGGTCAGGAGTACTGATTCTGCTATTTTTTGCTCACGAAGAGTATTCAACAAGAACTCCAAGAATTCGGAACAATCCTCTTGTTGTCCTAACGAGTATCTAATGGACTTCAAAGACTCCAGGAAATCGATTGTTGGGAAATATGATACATTCTTAAGAAACTGCAGCTGCATGAACAGATGTTTAAGTTTGGTGAATAAGTAGGAAACATTCTCATTCATCGTTAAAATCTCGTTCTTGAAATTCTTTGTCATGAACAACACTTGTAAAATACTATTCATGTAGCAAGTGTTTCCTTAATTATCTCATCCAATTTTCTTATCAAGATTTTCAGGACAACTCTCTACTGATTCGTAAGAAAAAACATGTTTCACAGAATCTGCATAAGAACCATTTCTCAAACTGCAATTAATCCTTTCAAGTGATGAAGAGTTTCGTAGAGGGATCGGTTCGGCTCTTGCTGATGCTCGACTGATGAATATCCACATATCTTGGCTTGTTTCGAAGAGATTTTAGTCCTGAAATGAGGGCAATGCATGATCTCATCAAAAATTATGCGAAGGTGGAATAGTTCCAAGAACCGAAGCAGCATTACCACGTTGAATAGCAATACTAATTCTTTCTATCAAAAAAGAGATAGAATGGAAATCTTTCGTTACTTGGCCTATTTTCCTTTCAAGTTCATGAACGAATAACAGAGACTCCGGGCCATACATATCAGAAGTTTCAACCGCTACTGGATGGAACAGATAGTTGTTACGAAGATTTTGGTATTTTTTTCGTTTCAATTTTCCGCCAGACAATGATGCGGTTCTAGCAGACTTCGAACTTTCGGCTAGATGGGAAGCCGCGACCGTATCAACGCAAGTGAGGTCCCATACCATAGGTTTACGGTATTTCCATGGCATGAGAGACATACCATTTGGTCGTTTACCATCATCTGGACTGGTACCTAAGAGTTCCATAATTGCAGGAATATCGGCTGACACCATAGCTCTTTTCAACCCAGTTTTAAATGTTTGCTTGTTATTTCATTTTACGGTTTATTGCTTAATATAATTGCCAACCAACTAACCAACAAACATCCATTTTTATATATTAGATTAGACAATGGAGGTCCACTTTCAAACAAACTATATTTGGCTGATAACATAAATAAAAACTGTGAAAAAGTTCTTACCGCCAAGTACGTCATGCAGTACATGGAGAATGAAGAATGCCCAGAAGGAAAGGATAACCTGAAAAAAAACCAACTTTGATAATGGAACTGATGTCAAACGCATGTACGAGTAAGTACTTATACACTTTTTCAAATGTTTTTGTCCGTAAAACTTCAAGTAGTTGGTTTTTGGTATAGTAATCTACAAAATACAAATTGTTATCCATTAAAAAACTTTGCATTTCATCTTCTTTCCGCCGTATTGAGAATATATTTCCATTGTTAATTTTTCAGATAACCTGGAGATAAGATTGACTTTACTATTACTGTCATTTGGGTTGCCTATCTCTCCGGTCCTACGCTTTGATAGATTGAAAGTAGTTTTTTGGATAGTTGAGATTAAAAAAGATACGAGAAGTTTTCGTTTCGTGACCAGAATAGAGCAGACTAACAGTGAAAAACTTCTTACGTTATTTAATTATAATAATTGTTAGATTTATCATGGAATCAGTGCTGTGTGTAATTACACTCTTCACTCCTATTTTCATTCCCAAGCCAAATTTCTCGTTTACTTGGAGTGTAAAACCAGAGGATTTTGGAGAATTCGTCTGTATGAAAACAGGTGAGTGACAAAATCGTTACAGAACTGATTTTCCATACAGTCCATTTTATTCACACTACATCTTTCCTCAAATTTTTATTCGGTACTATGATGAGCTGTCGCTAAAGATAGGAAGCGTTGTTAAGAACTATTACACTATTCGCATCCAAATTGATAAACCGATTAAAATATAAATTGTCCTTCTCAAAATGAAATATTAAAACAAAATTAGTTTTTACGACATTTCAACTACCTTCGCATCATACAGAAAATTGGAAAATTTATATTAATACCCCCACTCCGACGCCTATTAATACTATCTTCAACGCAATATGGCAAAATCCGTCGGCCGCCTCTTATGATGTTGTTTGTCGCAAGTCACCATTTTAATGGCTCGTTAGCGGCGTCCTCAAGAGGCATAGCAGGTAGAAATATCTCAGTGTCTTTGTGAATGAATTGCAGTGCCATTTGCTTGAGACGACTATGTTGCTTTCTTCGATGAACAATACCGAATATACTATAGTATTTCATCGTTTGTTCTTTTATTACCACAAACAATATGGCTCATTGTTAATTAATCTCCCAACTATTCATTATATAATTTGAATAGTTGGATTACAGAAGCTAAGTGTTTACAAATTAGACCACAATGGTACTACCGATAGATGAATAGAAAAAATGATTTCAAATCATGAGATAATTTTGTAGATCGTGTACGAAGTCAATTCGAATGGCATAAAAATTAAATAGTTACCGAATGACATTTTGTAAAAAAAAATTATGAAATGTGAAGTAATTAAGCAAAAGTTACAGATGATAGTCGAAGTAAACGGTATGGGGCATACTTCAAATTGGCGGCAATCTCAAAGGCGAAAAAAACCAATACATAAAAATGAACCGGATGCGAACTAGTCCACGTGGACTGCAAAATTAGCGGTCCGTATCGGATAGTTTTCACTAACCGAGTTTTATGATTGGCTGAAGAGTCATAAAATTAAATTTGAAGTCATGTTACGGTGACGAATAGAAATCGGCGAATGCGGGGATGGTTATCGCCGTCGTGTTCTGTTTAGGAACTGATCGCGATTTGAGTGTTAAAATTCGATATTGATGCAGTTATAACTACTCAAAATTTTTGTTATCTGTTAAAAANACTGATATCATGAAATACACGATTGGCAGGCTGAGGCCACATTTTTTCACGGTTTGTCAGCCGGACGTTTGTAATGGTTCGTTTGCCTTGTACAAATATTACGAAAATTTCACTTGTACGAACGAATTGTACAAAAATAATAAAAGGATAATGAAGGAAATGAGGTGAGTCCTTAATCGATAGTAATCATAATGTATCTCGTCTTCATCATTGTGTCATAGTATTTCAAGCTAAAAAGCTTGTTATTGTGTTTTATAGGTGATTCCGTTTGTAAATTGTCATTTTCATCTGAATCAGACTCTTCAGATTGACAATGTGATGTTCAGTATACAGGGCGTTCCGACGAAAACTTTCTCCCCCTGTGAGTCAAAAACGGACGAGTAATCGAATATTTTTTAGTTTTTTCAATGGCATAAGGGGTCAGTTCGATGTATACATCATTTGAAAGGTCTTTTGTCCCTCTATTACTTCTGTAATTTTTCCTGAATTAGTTCTTTCGTTATTGAGAAATTAAATGTTGAACGTTTTATTCAAGAAAAAACAGAAAATTCGCTGTCGTTTATTTTAATAAGGAAATCAACAACAAATAATATCAGTGGAAACAAAATCAATGGATAAATACAATAATACAGTCTACTATCGAAAGCGCTCCGTACATTATTCAAGATGTACGGAGTCAGTAATCGGCATTCCCGAACAATTCTCTGTCGCAGGTCTTCTAGATTTGTAGGCTCAGTAGGTAGAGTACACTTTCGACTTCATGAGTTCTCACAGAGAGAAGTTAATCGGTATGAGATCAGGTGATCAAGCTGGCGACTCCACTGGACCCCTTCTGCCGTCTCACCCGAACATCAAAATGTGGGGGTGAACCATCCTGCTGGAATGTTATTTCATTTTCTACCGAATTGTCAACATTTTCTGAATTTTTGTGTAATTAAAGGATCTACACAGACTTGTAATAGATTTAAGTATGTATACCCATTGAGATCACTTTCAATGAAGAATGCTCAAACATGATTACCAAAAATGCCGGGCCAGACATTCAATTTTTGTGAATATGTTTCCATTACCAAATGAGGATTCACATCGCTCCAGTAACGACGATTATGTCTATTCACTTCACCATTCAACATGAAAGAACTTCCGTCTATTAAAACATGTACTGTATAATAGGTTTGGTTATTGGTCGATTTCTTGCTGAACACCATAAAACTGAAGTCAATGATCAGGATCATCTTCGTTTAATTCCGGAACTAGCCTTATTTTGAAAGGATGGAATTTGTAGGCTTTCAAAACCCGAAAAACACTAGTAGCTGATACACCAGACGCTCAAGCTTCTTGTCTGATAGGTTGTCGATTATCCATTTGTACATGTCCTAAAACTGCATCTTCAACTCCGTCATTTCTGACAGGACGGGATACTTCATGTTTTCTGTTGTGAACAGAACCAGTTCGAAACTTATCCATCGACTGTTTGACGTATTGATGGCTCACGTTGTGGTCTGGATGATTCGTATTATAAATTCTCGCAGCAGCTTTAGCACATTCATTATTTCGATAATAGGTGGCAACAATTTCTTCAGTAGAATAAACCATGTTGGAATACTGAACAAGGATGACTGAATAATAATTTGCGAAGAAGTGACAGTGGCCAACTGTCTACTTTTTGTTCTGCGACAACTAGATTCAACAAAAACTACCAGTGCAGGAAAAACTAACAGTGTCGTCCATTTCAAAAGGTTTACTACTAACAGAATAAATTCTACAAATCTAGAAGACCTGTGATAGATAATCTTTAGGGAATGCCGGTTTCTGTCCCCGGATATCTTCAATAATGTAAGGAACTCTTTCGAAAGTAGACTGTATTAGTGTATGGAACTGGATGGAGGTTCTTTGAACACTTTATCTGTTGATTGTGTTGCCATTGATATTACCTTTGTTGGTTTCCTCAATAAAATGAGCGACAGCGAATTTTCTGTTTTAAATGAAACGTTCAACATTTTATTTCTCAATAACGACAACCAATCTCGAAAAAAATTACAGAAGTAATAGAGGGACAAAAGACCTTTCAAATGATGTATACATCGAACTGACCCCTTATGCCATTGAAAAAACTAAAAAATATTCGATTACTCATCCGTTTTTGACTCACAGGGGGAGAAAGTTTTCGTCGGAACGCCCTGTATACTGAACATCACATTGTCAATCTGAAGAGTCTGATTCAGATGAAAATGACAATTTACAAACGGAATCACCTATAAAACACAATAACAAGCTTTTTAGCTTGAAATACTATGACACAATGATGAAGACGAGATACATTATGATTACTATCGATTAAGGACTCACCTCATTTCCTTCATTATCCTTTTATTATTTTTGTACAATTCGTTCGTACAAGTGAAATTTTCGTAATATTTGTACAAGGCAAACGAACCATTACAAACGTCCGGCTGACAAACCGTGAAAAAATGTGGCCTCAGCCTGCCAATCGTGTATTTCATGATATCAGTTGTGAGCTGCGAACAAGCTGCTCCAAATGCAAATATGCCTATTATGCAGTAAACGCTGTATATGAAGTTTGGAATTTCTCTTCCAAATATGACTTTCCTTTGAGTATTGCTGGATCTATGCAGGAGGTATTCGGTGATTAACATCTGGAAAAAAAAGATATTTTTACTGGAATACTCAAACGAATAGTTCAAGGGGATGTAAGGAAATTGCCATCAACTGAAATAATACGGAAATATCATATTGCAGAACCAGAAATCCAAACTAAAACTCAATGACACCTGAATCGAAAGTAGAAGGTAGAATAACCGAAGAAACAATCTTCCACACCCCAAAACTGTTGAAACTTTTCCCGAGTTTCGTTTCAACAGTGTTAGCGTTCTAATTTAATTCAAATCATTTATTATCTTAAAATGACAAAAAAAGTGTAGGAAATAGTCATTTTACATAAAAGGACGAATCAAAATATATATACAAGAATGAACAAAAAAATATATACACAGGCAAATCACATTGTTGTATTTAACGCCTCGTCAAAACATCTTTTTAGCAGAAACGATTGCAATTTTTTGTTAAACAACAAAAGGCTGCATGTTGACTTCAACTTCTTTGGTATACAGTTGTAAATTCTATGTCCAACTACGACTCTTCAAGGCGAGGCCATTAGGTTCAGGGTGACCAGAGGCTGCCCTCAAGGTGTCGTTCCCCTTCTGTGTCGTTCCTGATGGATCGACCACAGAAGGTCGCTCGACAAAAGAAAAGTTATAGAAAAAAAAACTAATCAATAGAGTTTATTCTATGATTTTCCCTATAAGGGTTTTACAAAAACCCCGACAAAGTTTATTGAACTATATTTATTATTTTGATTTTCTTTTGAACAACTTATCAAGGAGGTTACATACAGCGCCATCTGCCCGCGAATAGATCAAGCGATAATGCCGATAATTCTGTCAATACAGATCCCGAGCTTGAGAGTTACAAACAAACATGCATACAAACAAACATACATACATATATACATACATACATACAGGTGTAGCTAATATAAAGCGTGTAAAAATACCTTGAGGGTCAAGAAATATTTCGCCAAAACCTAAATATCACTTGAGAGCATAAAGACATCAAAGAATTATACAGAATTGGGAAACCCAGCTTAGACAGAGTCAGACCCGCTCTAATAGAATTTATTTCTGGAAGAGTAAGATCAGAAGCCTTTAACAACGTAGGAAAATTAAAAAATACAAAGCTGGTCATTTCCCAAGATTATATACCTGAGGAGTATGCAATATAGAAGTATCTGGTGGTAAGACAGAGGGAACTCCCAGCTAAGGGATTCATTGTGAAAATCAGGGGCACGTCTTTGGTAGTTAATGACGTCATAAATACGTACGAAAAACTCGTATATGAAATGAAATACACTGATATCCAAGAGGAAAACAAAAAAAATGATAGAAGAGAATCGACTGGGACAGACATACCTACACAGCTAAAAAATTTGTTTGTCTCACTCATAAAATCCAGTTTTATGAAACCATCTTATTTGATGGTTTTTGAATAGAAAAAATTATTCCGGTATACTGGTTTCAAAAATGGTACATTTGTAACATTTATGCAGAATATTGTATGCACAAATCCGATTCTAATTGAGGTTAGAGAAAATTGAAAAGTTTGTTTGTATTGATGGATATGACATCTAACACAAACTGAATCATTCCATTCGTGCGAATCCTGTTATTAATGACGTCACTACGAGTCGGTTTTGAATAAACGCTTGAATACGATTAAACGCCAGAAAACACCTTGAGTTATCAAATAAGTCAAATCTGTTCCCACAGTAATAGTAGTTATGTATAAACTGTGTTGTGCATATATAAGCAGATTAGATACGTTCAATAAACATTTTTTCAATTTTTTAATAATGAGATGAATACTTTCAATAGTAAAATGTTTTGAGTCGACGATTTTTTTCAAATGAAACTTCTCAAATTGGTGGAATTTAGCCTACTAATGAATGTGAAGTAATAATGAATGAAACTGATGAAATATCGCAAATGTCACTAGACAACTGACATTTTCATTTAAATCGATACCCAAGACGGTTGGCATTATGTTAAATGACATTAGGCTAGTCATGAATGCAACTATGTCATACTTAATTAGCTACTGATGACATTATTTGATAAGAAGCATACCACGACATTCAGAAATTTGCCTTGAAAATAATATTTATAAGTATCACTTCCACTGTTCCACATACTATAATTGTAGCATATACTTTGAAAATCGTATTATGTTTATTGAACATTACAGAAAAAATGTAAAAAATGCAATTTTCGCATGACGGTGATATCATTCGAAGAAATTAAATAGACATTTTCATATTTTCTATACAGGGGGATGGAACAGATAGTTGTTACANAATCTCCAGCGATTCAAATCCAATGTGAATTTTCGCACAACCACCGCTCTTAGAGCATGATTTTCCTGTAGTGCTTGTGTTTTATCTTTGAAATAAGGGTGAAAATCAAAATATGACACGTCAATTTGTCGTCTATTTAGGCTCAATTTTTTTGCTGCTGGTCAAGCATAGATAAGTAGTCTTAAGTAAAATAAATCATTGGAAAATATTTTTAATGAAGAACAGACAAACGTTCATGCAACAAAGATGCATTCAATGATATGCACAGATTGAGTTACATGTCAAACAATAAAAAATTAAAAATAAATTTTAATCAAAATTGATTTTCAAAAACAATTTCTTATTGCTTGTTCTAAAAAAAGAATATAATCTTCAAATTAAATCAAACTCATCAATTTATTGTATTACATAATTTTAATCATACAAACGTTGGTCGCAAGATTCATCGGTGAAGATTAAGAAGAATACAATATGTACCTTGATCATCATATAAATATTTCTGAGAGAAAAGATATATGTTTTATACTGAGTAATTTTCTGCTGGTATCTTTTTGGCAACAGTTTTTTTGACAGATCACGCGTGAATCGTGTCTTATGTCATCGTCAAACTTGTTCAGTTTGGTCTATAATTTAACCATTAATCGACTTACGAATGAACAATGCTTGCAAATTATTTAATTTCATTATCAAAATTCATGCTCGGTGAAGTAAGAGCATCGTGCACTTCTTCCAATTTATGGGCAGTTTCGTCGGCCTACTGAGGGAGCTATTCGGAAGCTTGTGACTAAATTAAACCATCAACACGCATACGTATAGTGAGGACCGAAGAAAATATTGTGGCTGTATCCGCCAGTGTTCGTGATGACTGTAAAATATCGATTCGCCGCCTTTCGCAGCAATTGGGCCTCTGTTACTCCACTACGTGGAAAATTTTGCGACAGGATTTGGGTGTAAAACCTTATAAGATACAGCTGGTGCAAGAATTGAAGCCACACGACCTCCCACATCTAACATTTGGTGAATGGGCGCTGGCAAAGTTGGAGAAAAATCCACATTTTAATCGAAAAATTGTGTTCAGCGACGAGGCTCATTTCTGGTTAAATGGATACGTTGCCGCAAGCAAAGTTGCCGCATCTGGAGTGAAGACCAGCCACAAGCATTGCAGGAGCTACCGATGCATCCCGAAAAAGTCAATGTTTGGTGTGGATTATGGGTCGGTGGCATCATCGGGCCGTATTTCCTCAAAGACGACAATGGCCGGAACGTTACCGTGAATGGCGAGCGCTACCGTGTGATGATTGACGACTTTTTGTTGCCCAAAATGAAAGAATTGGACATGCCTGACAAGTGGTTTCAACAAGACGGTGCCACATGCTACACGGCACGCGAAACAAATGCCCAATTAAGAGCCCGCCTTCGGTGAACAGTTTATCTCACGATTGAGGCCCGTCAATTGGCCGCCTAGATCGTGTGATTTAACGCCTTTGGATTCCAATGTTAGAGAGAGTGTGCCAAAATTGGACTTTGCGCATGGACCATCTAAAGCAGAGCCGCGGACAACATTTTCATGAAATCATTAAATTATATTGATCGTTCTATCGATTCCAATAAAGATTTTATCAATTTTTTCAAATTTTTTGTGTTGTTTCAAAAATCAAATCCTATACCTCTTAAAAAATCACAAAAAAAAAAATCATATTGATACATGAAGATAGCAATTTTGTTTTCATAGATTAGCAATTTCTCATTGACGTTTTTAGTTAATAATGTTTTCATTTTTACTTCATACTTTCACTGAAGTATGTCAACTATATATTTCAACTACACAAAATATCGTGTTTATATGTTTGTTTATGTATTATCAATTATCTAGCACATATCAAACCATTCAACTATATTATTCGTTGGGAATATAGCTAATATCACTTTGTGAATGAAGGATTTCCACAAAAAAGTTTATACAGAACCAACGCATTTCTCTTACGAAAATTCAAGGCCAAAACTTTCACGTTATACTATACATGATAAATTCTGAAAGCTGCTTTGCCTTCAACTGATACACTGGCATTATCTTCCTAACAATGTATTATTTTCACTAAGGTACATACAAAGAGAATTATTTGTGAAATAACGAACATGAAATTTTGTAGAAATCCCAATACAACATGTCATTTTGGCATTGTCTTTGTTTTTCTAGATTTTCGCAGAGCCACCTTGCGGTAATCGTCCACTCTAACATTTGTTTAAAAGAAGGCTACTCATTCCTCAACATTCCCGAACAAAAGCTAGTTCAGCAATAATTTATTGATTATAAGTAATTAGTATAGTCCCAATACCATCGAATATACTGAAATATTAACTTTCAACTTCGGAAGCTTGGAAAATTGCAAAATCAATCAAATCAAACAATTTCCTGTGAACATTCACAAATTATACGTTGTCCTGATAAGATAAACTATTCGTGTTTTCTTCTCCCAACTCAAAGACAACACAAAGAAGAAATAACGTCATACTTTAAATAAAAACAATTCGCGAAGGTGTCTCAGAGTTATTTTTGATATTTGACTCAGATTTAATGGATGCTGATATATGAAATTCGCTATTAAAAGTCAAGGTTGAAGAGCAATAATTTCAGACGAAAAAGACGTTTCAATATAATCAACCGATTTATACAATAGTTCTGATTATTGACCTATTTGCACTAGAATGGAAATATTTATATAGGGT